ACAGCTATTCTTTTCAGAAAAAGTAATAGCTCCTTTGAGGAAAAATTATATTCTCAACATGAGAAGGCTTTGATAAAATAAATCCTGATTAAAGAAGCTACATTTCAATGTAATCACGTATTCTGTGTCTATGAATACGCGAGGCATGGGGCTTGGCACTGACAGGGGACGGAGAAATAAAGCGTAATAGAATGTAATGGTGGTAAACACTGAATAAACAGTAGCTATTTGTGTGTGTGTGTGTGTGTGTGTGTGTACACACGTGCATGTGCAGTGAGCAGCTTATTGAGAGGTGGAGCTAGAAGCTAGAAGGGGGAGGGGCTTGTCCTACTGGGAATGAGAAGTGAGAAGAACTGAGAACTGTAGAACCCTGCCTGCTTAAGAGAACAGCAGGATTCCGAAGTCAGAAAGCAGACGAGCAAAGAGTGAGGGCACCAGGGTAACCCTTCCTAAATCTCTTCTAGCTCGGATTAGGATCTGTTCTAGAGCATGAGGACGAATGGAGGCCATGAGGAAGGGAAGCGCGCAGACCCAGCTTTGTGAAAGGCAAGGAGGGAAAGCTGCTGGGAGTTGGGAAGACCCTGACAGAGGCAGGACTGGCAATCGCCAGACTGTCCCTGAATCTAAGTAGAATTATCAAAATTCATATTCTTGTGATGCAACTCTCTGGCCCGGATGCCAATTGAGAGTCAAAGTATTTTTTATTGTTATTGCTATTATTAGAAGTCCCATGGAGTATCCTACATACATATATGTGCCGCCTAGCCAGGATGTGCTATTGACATGGAAGATGTTAAGCCCTCTTAGATGATAAAGGTGAAATCTTTTTCCCCACTAAGAAGCAAAAATAGTTACTTACGCTTCTGAAAATTTCAAATCAATAGTTAAATCATGACAGTGCAGAAATGCCTGAGAGTCAGCACAGTTAAAAGTGTATTAGGCATCCAGTCATTCCTAATTCTGTCAGTAGCTTTTTAGGAGGGACACAGTATAAAGTTTCACATACTCCACATTTACACATATGGGGTACTTTCAAAGAAGAAGAAAAATAAAATTATAGTAAATGATGAAAGTAGATCCCTATCTCAAACAACATATACAAAAATAAAATTCATATTAATTAAAGACTGGCAAAAACCACATTTTTAAATGCTGAGTGGAAAATATAGGTTAATATCTTTTAGCTCTTCAGGCAAAGAAATATTTTCTTAAATGGGTATAAAATGTAATTAACTAGAGAAGTAAAGTTTGCAAAACATAATAAGAATGTCCATTCATCCAAAGACCCCTCAAAGTGAAAAGACAATTTACAAACTTGGAGAAAATACTTGCAATTCACACAATGGACAGATGGTTAGTATCAAAAAGAAACAAAGGATTCTTACCAACCAACAAGAACACACACACATACACACACAGGAGCAAGGGATAGAAAGACAGTATTTCATAGAAAAGACACACAAAAAGCTAATGAACACATGAAGAGTAGCTCAGTGTCATTAGAGAACCGCAAAGTTCAGAAACCACCATGAGACACCTTTTTACACCCATTTGGTTAGGAAAAATTAAAATCTCTGACACTACAAAACCTTGAAGATGATATGAATTCACAAAACCAATTATGCATCACACGTGGGAGTCCTTATTAGCGCAAAACCACTTCAGGAAAGAGTCTGGCATGACCTCCTATAAGTGATCCATTACATATCCTATGTTCCAGCAATTCCACTCGGAGGTGGATACCTAAAACAGTTTCTAATACATACACAACAGAAGACACATACACAAATGTGCATCAGTCCCTGTCCACGGGGGAGTAGATGAATGGAATTTTATATAGCAGCCCAAAAGAATGAACTCAAACAATATGGATGCATCTCATGAAAAAAGGAAGCACCAGAGAATTACATGCATGACACCATAACAGCATTCACACATGTTGCTGTTTTTATAAATTGAAAATAATTAGAGCAAAACTAAATGCTTCTACAAAAACATGTAAATATTAAAACTTTATAAAAAGGAAAACAAAGGACTGATCAACTCAAGGTTCAGAGTGATTGTCACCCAGAGATGACAATCACTAGTTATAGGGTTGAACTTCTGGTTTTGATATTGGTTTCACCAGTGATTATTACATTATTAAAATAGCTAAGTAAATATATAAAAGCAGGATATGGACAAAATGAGAGAGCGTCACCAACCACGCATTATGATCATTCCAATTCTGTGCACACAAGTTCCTTCAATAAAATGGAGAAATGCCCTTTGACAACACACTTGGGGAAAATATCAAACTGAAGTCATTTTAGTCCAAACAATGACAAGCTCCACCCACTGATCTGACTGAGACTATTTATAGAAGGTTCTTTATTTGTTCTGACATTACTTATAAAAGAGAAATTGAAGACATCTTAAGGACCCATCACTAGAGGAATGGTTTAAAACATGAGGCTAGGGGCGCCTGGATGGCTCAGTTGGTTAAGCGTCTGCCTTTGGCTCAGGTCATGATCCCAGGGTCCTGGGATCGAGCCCCACATCAGGCTCCCTGCTCAGCAGGAAGCCTGCTTCTCCCTCTCCTGCTCCCCCTGCTTGTGTTCCCTCTCTCGCTGTCTCTCTCTCTCTCTGTTAAATAAATAAAAATCTTTAAATTAAAAATAAATAAATAAAACATGAGGCTATGTTCACCTGCTTTCATTAATTCACCTTATCAACACCTTGAGTAAGCGCCCATGATTTGTCAGACCCTATGGGATACAATGATGAACTAGACTGATTCAGGCCCTGCTCCCTTGAGGTTAACGCTGGTGGGGAAGACAGGCAGTAATCAGAAGACCACACGTGTAAATGCACACTGAAAACAGATGCAGGCTGTCAAGGGAAGGAGCACACAGTTATGAAAGGGGAAAAGGGAGAGAGAGACTAGCTTGCAGCATTTAGCGAGGCTTCCGGAAGGAGGACAGCGGCCATTTCACAGAGGTCTGAAACAAAAACCTGGGGGTAGCTACGCAGGCCAAAGGGAAGCAGGAGAAAGAGCCACCCAGGCCCAAAGAAGAGAGGTGGGCCCCGCAGCAGAAGGAGCTCGCTCGGGCTGTCAGGGACATGAAAGGCCAAATGGCCAGGCCCAGAGCAAGGCAGACAGTGGAGTGAGATGGGGCTGGAAAGGCGGGCGAGAGACAGATCATGGACCAAAGAGCAATGGAAAGAAGGGATTGAAGGAGGAAGGCAACTACATCAGATCTGCATAGGAAAACAATCACCTGCAACCAGGTAGAGAAGGGAGGTTATGAGGACAAAAGCGGGGGCTCACTTTGGCACGATCACTCTGGTTCAGCATGCAGCACAGTCAGGAGCACATGGACAAGCAGTGGGAGGTGACCTCAGCAGCGCAGACAAGGGGCAGAGGCAGCTGGCCTAGGGGTGGCGGCCGTGGGGCTGCAGAGAGGGTGCTGGATTTGAGAGGTCTCTAGATGGTAAACTGAAGAACCCTTGGAGGTAGAAGGGGTGTGGACAGAGAGGGAGAGGGAGGCACTTTGGATGACTTGCAGATGTCTGGCTTATAGAAACAGACGGAACACTGGAAGCTGAGCAGAGTGGGAAGGGGGCATGATGAGCTCGGTTTTGCAAATGGCTGAGCTTAAGGTGGCCTGGGACATCCAAATGCGGATGCCAAGTAAACAGTAGGTGAGTGAGTTTGGAGGGAGTCTGACCTGGAGATACAAGTTTAGGAGACACACTGTGAAATTGTTAAAATGAATGAGGCAAATCCATACATATTGACATGGAAGGCTGTCTATGATCTACTGGTAAATATACATGGAATAAAGCAAGTTATAAAACAGTATGCATAATATAATCACTTTTTTCAAAAGGCATATAGAAAAATACTTAATCATCTGGTGCACAAGAGAAATACATACACTTGCACATAGATACACACACACACACACACACACACACACACACACACACGTCTGGAAAGAATATACCAGATTATTAACCTGCCCCTGTGACTGATGCTTCGGGTTGGGAGAGATGAATGAAGAACTCTCACCTTTTGTCTATAAACTTTTGCACCACTGGATCCTATTTCTTATAATGAGCACTTCATTACTCCAGCTGCTCCTTCACTCCATCCCTCTGGCCTTCCCCAACTCCTACCTCATCCTGAATCCCCACCCAGAGGCAGATGTTGGCAACAGGATGAGAGAAAAGGAAAGGTGATGCCAATTTTGCATGCTATTTGACAGTAAAAAAAAGGAGGAACTTGGTGTTGACTTTTAAGCTGTATCAAAATAGCTGTATCAGAATGTTCACTGGTCAATGCCATTCCTTCTCCTTGAGTGTTAACAATCGAGTTGGCTAAGCAGTAAGTCAACTAAGATGACTGCAGAGCACAGAAGTTTGGGGACACTGGCTTGCACTCTCCTACTGGTCGCCCATTGGGCTCCGAGGATTCAAAAGTCTTATGTAATACCCACCAATCCCCCATACTGATCAAGGAACGTTGAAGACCCCCCTCACCATTGTGGAGAACAGTGTACCAAGAACTTGGCCTAATGAACATACACAAACCAAAGGAAATTAACATAAAAGAAAAGATGAGGTGGCTTTACATAGCAACCTGCATAGATTATCCTGGATTTTTCTTGTTACTGAGCATAATCACCCAGCGAGTCCCAGTCCACACTCGGCACATATTTGCAGAACTGTTTCTGAAATGTCCAGACCTCTATTTGACCAAGCATATCATTACCCCAGAACAAAAATGGTGGACCGCGAAGGCAGAAGCATCCTGATGTCAGAAAGCCAGCCAAGGAACAGGATATCTATCCCCATGCGAATTTCCCTCTTCCATTCCCAGGCCTGTGACTCACAGCCTGAGGGAATCAAATGAGATCTTAAAGTTGTCTTGTCTTGCAGCTGAACAATGTATCACCTAGCCACCCTTACTTAATAAGTGTATCTTCTACAGAGAGATATATGATAACTAATCATACCAGGAGGGCAGACACAGGTGAAATTGCTCCCATCTTGCTTCTCATTTGCGTCCACACAATCGGCGTTGTTCTGACAGGGCTTCCGCTGGCAGGCATCAAATTCTTCACAGAAAGTGCCCACGTACGGATCCTCACAGGTACAGGAAAACGTTGCCTAAAACACAAACATACCATCTACATTGCACGAGTCCTCTAAAATGTATGCTCTGGCTGTGAATCTCAAAGTTCCAAAGCACCGCTCCCAATACCAAATGCTTGAATCGCATCATTTATACTGTGATCTGATTAAAATCATAGCTTTTAGCTTTGAGAGAAATGCTGTGTATTTCCTTACACTTTATTTTTTTTTAAGATTTTTTATTTATTTATTTGAGAGAGAGAGAGAGCAAGAGCAGGAACACAAGCAGGGAGAGTGGGGAAAGGAGAAGCAGGCTTCCTGCCGAGCAGGGAGCCCGATGCGGGACTCGATCCCAGAACCCTGGGATCATGACCTGAACCGAAGGCAGACGCTTAATGACTGAGCCCCCCAGGTGCCCCTCCTTACACTTTAATTTGAAACATTTATTTTTCTCATTCTTTCTTTATTGATATTTATCCCAGCCATTCTTCCTTTTTACTAAAATAAAAAGTGGAAAAGATAACTATGTTTTAAACAAAAATGAAGTTTTGCTGGCCTGACATGGAAATGACCATTTTGCTAGAGCAGATATATTGTGCTCCAGCCATTAAATGAGATGTCACACCAACTACGATCCTGCAGCAGAGAGAGCACTCGTCCAATGTCCTGCTCTGACCACCTTCCAGAACATCAAGAGAATTTACTGAACCCCCCTGTAAATTAGCCTCAATGTCAATGTACAGCTATGCAAATGAACTGAGTGCAAGGGAAAATAAAAAAAGTGTAATTCTAGTAAGCATCCTGTTTGGCTCATGGTATTCCTGTAATCTTAGTGAAAGACCATAACTCAGTCCCAGAGCACTGCATTTGGTTGGAAGCTTCTTCATTCCTGAAATAGTTGTAAAATCCAAATAAAACTGAGCCTTCCTGCTCTCTTCACTCCTTAATGCCTGAGGGTGGTGACCATCTAAAAACAAAAAACAGGGTGCCTGGGTGGCTCAGTTGGTTAAGCAACTGCCTTCGGCTCAGGTCATGATCCCGGAGTCCGGGGATCGAGTCCCGCAACAGGCTCCCTGCTCAGCGGGAAGTCTGTTTCTCCCTCTGACCCTCCCCCCTCTCATGCTCTCTCTATCTCATTCTCTCTCTCAAATAAATAAAATCTTTATAAATAAATAAATAAATAGATAGATAGATAAATAAATAAATAAAACCGCTAATCTGGTCCCAAACCCTGTGTGAAGCAATGTAGGTTATTACTGCAGATCTTCGTGAAGAGGGGCATGGAGGAAGCAAAGGAGAATGGCATAAACAAAACTTAATACTTAAAACGCTTGATTATCTTGGGTTTTCCAGATAAAACAAAATCCCCCCAAACTGCATATCAATTGCAAATAATTGATATGTCGATAACATCCCTCCCCCCAACTTCTCCAGCCCTCATGGTTGCTTTGCTGCCTCTTCTAGAGTAAGCTTGATTTCAAAGGGAGATCTGTAGAATTTATCACTAAGGAGAAAGCTGGAATGAGGACTGAATTTTATCAAATGCCATTTTAGCTTCTTGAAAAACAATAATCTATTTCTTTTTGTCTTTGACCTAGCAATATGTGAATGTTTAGAAGCCCTAGTCCTCACTCAACCTTGCATTCTTGGAAGGAACACCCACAGAGGCATTACGCAAAACTGTATTATGGACATATTCTATTTGTAGCTATACTTCTAGTGCTTTCCAACTAACTTGCCCCATCCCCACCAGACCCCCTTCTAAGAAAACCTGTCCCTTGCACAATGAGATCATAGTTTATATTCTAACAGGGTGCCCCAAAAGTGACTAAACCAGGAGTGGATGGACCCGTGACCTCAGCAACCAAGCAAGAGACCCGTCAAATGTGACATTTAGCTCGACCAAACTGCCAGATTTTGTGTAGGTATGTTTTTGTTAAGGGAACAGGAGAAATCCTTGTAATCTGCATAATCAATTCTTAAGTTTAAGAACAACACATTCTTAGAAACCAGAACAAGTGGAATAAAAGCAATGGTTTTTCTTCTTAAGTTAGAGTTAAATTTTCTGCCTTCTCTTTCCATCCTTTCTCGCACGTCTTTTTGGCAAATGGAAATTCGCTCGGCCTGCTAGCAATTCTTGATTCCCTATCTGCTTTTCCAGGATACCGTGAGGTGGTTTTTTTCCTTTTGTGTGTGTTTGCAAGACTTTGTAGTTCAAAGCTGGGAGAAGCTGCATCAAGACTGTTAGAAAGGCAGCCTTTTAAATAGGAAACTCTTCCTCTAGAGCCATCTTTAAGGAAAATCTCGTCCTGCCCAAATGTGCAACAGAGTACACCTTTGATATTTGCAGGGACCTGTCTGGAGCCCTTTGTGCATCTGCAGATCTGTGACTGCCTTTGAAATGTAAACACTGTGTGGGCAAAATGGGCCTCAGCATCATAATAAATTACTATGTGTCATTATTTTTGGCAGTTGTCCTCTGAAATTTACTTGGTTTGCATCCAGCAGTTCCATATTGCAGATCAATTTCTTTGGCTATTTGGGGGACGCATTTTGCATATAATTCATCTGTTATGTTCCATGGAAAATATGTTGCTTGTGGAAATAAATTATCAAAAACACCAAATCAAGTATCTTCAAGTTAGCTTTTATTAAATCTAAAGCTAAAACGGAAGCCACACATTTTGTTTTGCTTTGTTTTAAGCCAGAACGTTGAAAGAAACTTGAAGAAACTGTTGAAACAATTGTTTTTGACCAAGCAACACATGGAATTGATTCTTAAACTTTGATTGGTTGATAAGGAAGATTAACATGTTTACATACCCATGACCATAAAATCTACTTAAGTTTTTATGTATTCTGTATCATATGGTCCATAAAGTTAGATTTCTTCCTGTCTATTTTCTAAGAACAATGAGCTTTCCTACAATATTAAGAGGTTTGTTTTAGTATTAAGTTTCAAGACTTGATTTGTAAGAAGCCATGAATATTTACTAGGAAACTATGTTGTTAGCATCTTGGTTGTGGAAAACTGTGATCACTGAAAGTTGTGAATGTTACACCAACCTTAAGAAGTTTAACCCACCATGACAGCACTACTCTAGGTCCAATTGTCTTAACCAGCATAAAGGCCAAAATGGACTTACTTAAAATTAGTAGCTTAGCAGGGCAGGGTGGCTGGGTGGCTCAGCTGGTTGAGTGTCTGACTCTTGGTTTTGGCTTAGGTCATGATCGCAGGGTCTAGAGATCGAGCCCCACATGAGGCTCCCGGCTCAGCACACAGTTGGCTCTGCCCCTCAGCCCCCCACCCCCATGCTTGCGCTCTCTCTCTCTCTCTCTCTCTCTCTCTCTTTAAAATAAATAAATAAATCTTAAATGAAGGAGGGGAATCGGAGGGGGAGACGAACCGTGAGAGACGATGGATGCCAAAAAACAAACTGAGGGTTCTAGAGGTGAGGGGGTGGGGGGGTGGGTTAGCCTGGTGATGGGTATTAAAGAGGGCGCGTTCTGCGTGGAGCACTGGGTGTTATGCACAAACAATGAATCATGGAACACTGCATCCAAGACTAATGATGTAATGTACGGTGATTAACATAATAAAAATAAATAAATAAATCTTAGAAGTAAATTCCTTGCTATTTCCTTGCAAACCTATTTCCTTGCAAAATTATTGTATATTTACATGTAAAAGTATTTTTTTTTAGGAAAATGAAAAGTGGCCCTCAGAGATTAATCTTAAAACCCAATGCAGAATCTCAATTTTCCCCCAACAGTTTGATGTCCAATATTCCATTTGTACATTAATGGAACTTTCTCGGTGGTAGGAAGCTCACTTTGAAAAGCTGCAGGTTTAAAACGTTTCAGTCACACCTGCATTCATGTGACAGCCATATGACAAATATTGACTGAGCACCTACTATGTGCCAGGCACTGTTCTAGGACCTGGAAACACAAGAATGAACAAGGCTGGCTCTTAGAAATGATAAGCTAGTGCTGGCTGATGATAAATAAAATGAACAGGCAAATAATGTAGTAAATGAGGTGATAAATGCCATGGGGAAAAATAAAGTTGGGAAGGGGAAGAGAGGGACCCTATAAGAAACAAGCCCATTAAACCTCCTATTGTGTTTACCGTTAGAATGCTGGTGAGAACATTCTATGCCACACGTTATTTTGTGCCTCTTTTGTAAAGTCCTCCCCAAGAAAAGTCACTCATTTAAAAATGTGCCAGTAAAAGTTTTGTTAGTCATGAGAGCTGATGTTTTGTCCTCATGAACAACGCAGATCATGAGACTGCCCTTTTTTTTTCCTCCTTTTTGCTTTGGTTGCGGCATGCTCAGAGTCTACAGGAAGTTCACCCTTAACACCTTTAATTTATATCTTCTCTGACTGTGACTTATGTTTTCGTACTTTTTAATATTTCAGTACTTTGTGAAATATGGAGTCCAATGTGTGATAAGTATGTCCAAATTCCCCAGCATGGCACACAGGGCCCTTGACAATCTGGCCCACCTCACTTTTTCTGTTTCATTCTCTGCACCTGTCACTTCTCAGTAAAGCCTAATCATCACGAACAAATCATCCCACAGAGACGCGTTTTCTGAGGAGCTTTATTTCTCTCTTTCAGGGTCAGAATTCCTCCATTCTATCTTACTCTCTCCCTTAAACAAAGTATACAGAAAATACATTTATCTCTTGTTGGTGTCCCTGTGACATCAGTACGAACATAAAAGCCCCAGCTGACTGGACACTGAATCTCATTGTTTATAGAGCTTGCTGACATTGAATTATCTCATTAATCTTCACCACATCTGTCAGGTGGCTGTTATCACATCCATTATAGGAATTGAGAACAGACTCAACAGGGAGGTCAGATACATTTTGGAAGGTGTCCCAGCCAGCAAGTATAAGGTCAAGGCTTAAATCTGTACCATCGATTCCAGACCTTTCCCACGCATAGCTGAATACTGTCCTATCGTCACTGCATTGGTCTATGCACCAGAGACGCACGCAGGGTGCCCTTCACCCCGACTCTA